AAGTAGAGGTACCACTGTATTTAATGTTATTTATTTTGTTTCTGAAAGATCTGGGAGAGGAGAAGTAACTCCCAGAGTTTTCATCCAGGATTTACCTTTCATCTCATTTTCTGTGCCCATATAGGCTAGAAACTTGCTCTTTTAAATGAAAGCTTAAAAATGGAATTCTGCTGCCAACATTAAATTATGGCTTTACTGAACTTAACTGCCCAGAATATCAAGAATCTTGCCTATATATTTGCAACTTAAAAGTGGACATTTGTGGTGGAATAATCCTAAGGTTATTTCAGCAGAGTGCATGTGTATACTTGTTGCTTTAATGGCACAAATGGTCTGAGTAGAGGGAAAGAAAGGACAGAGAAAAGAAATAAAAAATAGACAATTTTTTTTAAAGTATAATAATGAAGGACAAGAACAGTAAAAACAGCAAATGCAAGAATATCCAGGCATGACTGTTCAACCTCCACTCATCAGGAAACAGAAATTCAACACTGAAGTAATGCAAGTTCAGCAAAAAGAGAAGCCAACTCTCAAGACCTAATTAAATTTGTATCGTTCCTCAAATTTGTGTAGTTTCTTTAAGATAATGTATTGTGCTACTAATGGGCAATGACAAGAAGCTGTTGCTGAACAACAAAATAACATTCTATGAACTCTGGAAATTTTTTATTTTTGGTCCCTGAGCTTTCACTAGGTTCCTGTCCAAAAACTTTCAAACCTATGTAATGAGAACTATAAAGTTGCACTTTGAAGGCAAAATAAGTTCAAGAAGACCAGCACACGTATACTTAAAAGAGCACCACCATGATTCCTGCATTCACCAATCAGATTCTTCTGAGAACCCAAGGGCAAGGAATAGAAGCAATAAACTTTCTTCACCATCTCCCAAACAGTAAATAATAATCAGAAGTACATGCTGCATTGGATTATAGGATGTTGCTGCTGAACAAGTTAGGGAAGCTTAAGGAATAACAGGCAGGTTGTTGTGAAGAGCTGAGAAAGGATGGTGTTCCTTGCAAAACTGGCCACAGGTAGGGAATAGCAGGTATTAAGAGGAAGGCAAGGATAAATCTGAATAAATCTTGCCCAGAAAATCCTAATGATAGGCTTGCCATTAGTCAGAGTCAACTTGAAGGCACATAACAACCACAACCTCTTCATTAGTGTATGGAGAGTTTGGAAAAAATACTTTTTGGCCATATAGGCTAAAGAGTCTGGCAGCTATAGTCTACTCTCAGGCTTTGCAGCTGCTCATTAGAAAGCTTTCTTGTTGTGTGCCTTCAAGACATTTATATGGTGACCCTAAGGTGACATTGTCATGGGGCTTTCTTGGTGAGATTTGCCTAGAGGGGGGCTACCTTGCAATCCTGTGAAACTGAGAGAATGTGACTTGCCCAAGGTTACCTGATATGTTTCTATGGCTGAGCAGAGATTTGAACCCTGGTCTCCAGAGTCCTAGTCCAATGCTCCAACCGCTACATCACACTGGCTCTGGGATTAGAAAGCTAAATTTCCACAAATTAAAGGGAGGAGCAGTTTGTCCACCTGGAATATTCAAAGTGCCCCACTAAACCTGTTTATAGAATTGATTATAAACAGTGTGGCCCTCCAGATATTTTGTACTGCAACTTTCATGATTCCTTATCATTGACCATGTTGGATGGGAATTGATGTCTCTTCCCCAATCTGGAAAGCCAATGACCAAACTTCCCTGACTTTTAACCTGATCTTATGTGCCTGATCTTACTTGCCATACTCCTGCTAATGGACTTAATTCTTCCTATTAATACTCCAGAGCAGCTTCTCTCCTACTGGAAAGGTAAGTGGAGCAGAGAGGAAAAAATCCAATGTCATCTCTAATCTCTATCCCTTGACATGGGACTCTCTAAACCTGATACAAATATACCTAGCTTTGCTAGTGCAGAATCAGGCTGTTAGGCATCCACTCATGCTACTCCCTCACCAGTGAAAAAATAAAATAAGATAGAATCAACTGAGATTTTCTTCCTGTATAAAAGCTCTGGGTGTATTGCAAGATAATCCAAGTCTCTCAACAACCCTGCAAAGAAAGTCAGTCTGATAAATAATAATTGGCTCCAGCAGGCCATACTGGTGAGTCTCATAACTAAAGAGGGATTGATCTGGGATTATACACATATGAGATGATTAAAAGAAACCAAAAATTTCCTGCTAGTACTGGACTGAAAATTCAAGATTCACCTAATGCTTTTTAAAAACAGCACTTTCCATTTTTACATCGTCATGTCATTTATCTAGATCATCCCAGAACATAACACTACTTCCTTATTTCATGCTGTGTTACCACTGATAAGAACTATCCCATGCAATGAATGGGTGGGAACAAAACCATCAACCACAAGCTGATTTGTTTGCAACATGCCTGAGTCACTGGGGAAGATGCTGCTTCCCCACCACCCTCAATGTTTAGAGGGGAAGGTGGCCATTTCTTAAGTCATGAGGCATTTGCATCAAACCTGCCTGATCAAGGGTGATTTTAAGAAAGTAGGATAGAGACATACAACCTGACCATGAAAACATTATACTTTGGGGGCAAAAACTCCCAATGGCAATACTGCTTGGCACTGTAGTCCAAAAAAACTAACTGTCCCAAGTTCTTGTCATAACACAATACTATTTTTGGACTGGACATCCCAAAAACTATCACCACCAGTTATGATGACTAGGGCTGATGGAGATGTAAGCTAAAAACATCGACAGGGCCACAGTTGTCTGCAACCAGGATCTCTTGATCAGCTTGTTTCACTAGAGTCCATATAGATGATGTTGCTTTGTGCCATCAAGTTGACTCTGATTTATAACAAGCCCAGTGTAGGTTGTGTTTTTTTTGGGGGGGGGAGTATTTGGAGAAAGCTTACCACTGCCTTCCTCTTGGACTGAGAGAGTGTGATTTACCCAAGGTCACCTAGTCAGTTTCCAGGGTTGAATGAGGATTTGAACCCTGCCCTCCCAAAGTCCTAGTCTAACGCTCAGACCACCAGACCATACAGGCTCTTATATCAGCTTAAAAAGGAAAGCTTGTGTACTAAAAGGGTACAGAAACAATTGTTCAGTACAAAGAACAACATGAAACAAAGCATGGGAGGAGAAAGAGAAGGCAAAGAACATTTCTGAGGAAAATTCCTGGCTCATTATATTTGGGCAGAGGCCTAAAATGTGTCCTTTACCAGTAGAAAATAATTCAAGATGAAGGATTAAGCTTTGTACAATGCAGGAAAATTAATCAAAATGCCTAGGTGCCACAAAAAATAGACACACATAAGTGATCAGGGCGAACCCCCCCCCACACACACACACCTTCTTTTTACAAGTCATTAAAGAAACAGCTTTGTTTCAGGGCCTTTATCTCACGTTTCTAGTGAGATAAATTCACGCTTAAATTTATTTGAAGGTGGCTTGCTTCAAACAAACCATAGCTGAGATTAACTATAGCTTGTTGGGTTTGGGTGGCATAACAAACCATGGTTAATGGCTTGTCTTGATTCTCCTGAACTTGTCCTTGTGGCTAAGAGGCCAAATTCATTTTAAGCACTAAACCACTAATTTGCAAATGTGGTTTTGCAGTTCAGCTCAGGGAAATAGCTACTTTTTAGGACTACAACTCCCAGAATTCACTAAGCAGCCAGCCTTAAAACAATAACTTTCCTGAGCCCTGCAACCACAAGCACCAGAAATCTTCAGTCAGTATGGTCAATGATGTGGGATCATATGAGCTGTAATCTAGCAAAACCGGGGAACCCAAAACAAAACTAGGGCACTGAATGGTGAATGAGAACACAGGAAACCTAAGGCTGGCATATCAGTGACTTCAGGATTACAATTTAACACCTGGGACCCAAGACTGGGAACCAGTGAAGGTGAAGTGCACATTAGCACAAAGTCCAAGTCTGTGTGCAGCATGGTTTCTCAGTTGTACAAATAAAAAGCTGTTGAAACTTCTATAAATCTGCAAACAGTTTGGTGGTGTTTTCTTCACTGCTTCCTGCTTAAAAAATACTGTACAAGCATGCTGCAAGGCTGTGTGGGCTAGAAAAGAACGAGTGCCAGAGCTAGGAGTCAGGCACCCTGCCTTTTGATCTTGGCTTTGACAATTTCCACAGGCTCTGAAAGCCACTTAACCTTTGCGCTCTGTTCCTCTTCCACTCAAGCCCTGCCGTACAAAACATGAATGCTGAAGACCTGGACCTCCAAGGGGAGCAGGATGATTGGTGTCTTGCATTTCCAAACCCCTCAGCTGTGAACCCAGCAAGAACTGCAGAGCACAGAAAGCACAAGTGAGTCATTTGAGCTAGGAGTGCTTTAGCAGCAGTAGATAGCAACCAATACCCTCATTATGTACGGTTGACTACGAGCTGGAGCCAGGGGGGCAGTGAGTTAAAATCCTGCCACTGTCACACACTCTGCACGTAACTTTCTGCAATTCCCTTTCTCTGCCCCCCCATCCCTCTACTATATAGCAGAGATACACATGGCCTACTTTGCAGGATTGGTGTGAGGACAACTCAAGTCTTAAACCAAGTGCCCAGTTGCCAAAGAACTGCTTTACAGTGATAGAAAGATTGCAAGATGTTGCTCTTCAGACTGTCAGACTTCAGATTTAACAGAATCAATTTCAATGGTTCTCTGGCATCATCCTGTTTGGACAATACATGTCTCAAACCCCAGTTCTGGTCCATGCGCTCCGGATGACATCTGGCACATTCTGTGCCAGAACCAGGGTATAATACCCTTAAAACAGTTAGAAAATGTTAAAGAAGTTAGAGAATGAGGAGAGGTTCAGGAGAAGGTAAAAGGAAGGTAAGAGATGGGAAGGGATGAAATAGGAAGGAAATTGGTTAAGAGAGTGATAAGAGATGGACAAAGTGTGGAAATAATAGGATTAGTGGAAACTTTCCTCTGTAGGGTGGTTGGATGAATGTGTAAGAGCTCCGGTGGGATTGTAGTTAAAATAACTATCTAGTTTTTATTATTTTATAATTATTATGTTCATTGGATGTGTTGCGATATTGTCTAGTTGTTTATTTCAAATAAAGATTATTTTTTTAAAAAAAGTTTTTAAAAATACGCCTGTAGAATTCAAAGAAATATCCGTGTTAGTCTGTAGAATCAGTATATAGAGAGATCTTGTAGCACCTTTGAGACTAACTGAAATAAAGAGGTTGGTAGCATGAGCTTTCGTAGACTTCAGTCTACTTCCTCTATATGCATTTCAGGAAGTAGACTGAAGTATACGAAAGCTCATGCTGTGAACTTCTAAGTCTCAAAGGTGCTACAAGATCCGTCTACATACTAAAAACATACCCTCCATTCCTGCGCCGTTGAGGCTGTCTGCAAAGGCATCCCATTGAGCCACCCAGTGTGTCCACCATCACTGCATATCACTTACTCTGAGGTCAGAACGAAGCACTCAGTTATGTGATCAAGGCTCAGAAGCAAGCAACCTGCAGTGGCGGAGGATGCACCTAGCAGCTCAGTGGGATACCTGTACAGACAGCTGCCACAGTGTGGGAACGGAGAGCCAAGTAATGGGGCAAGTCAAGGCAGCTGCAGGGCCAGGATATTCTGGGCTGCCCCTGGAGTATTTGGTCTGTGCAGACAAGACCAGGAGGGGGCACGTACCAATTCAGATAAGCAGTATATATAGTTGGCTCTCCATAAAGCCATATCTACAGATTCCTTATCCATGGATTCAAATACCCACTGCTTGAATATCTAGATAGATAGATAGATAGATAGATAGATAGATTCCAAAAAGCAAACCTTGATTTTGCCATTTTATATAAAGGACAGCATTATACTACACCACTGTATTTAATGAGATTTGAGCATCCACAGATTTTGGTATCCGGGAGGGGGGGAGGGTCCTGGAACCAAATCCCAGTGGATATGGAGGCCACACTGTAAATGCATAAATTTGCATGGGGTACAATAAATCAGTTATAACACAAAACTCTGACATTGGTTGGCTTGGCAGGACAAAAGACTCGATACAATAAAACTAACAGATATTTATATTTTCCAGGATGTTAGGTTTCTATCTGCTACATTAAAACTATTGGCAGAAATATTTACTTAGCCTGCCCCAATGCACTGCTCTCCAGATAGACTGAACTACTGCCACTCTGTGTGGAGGGTCAATGTAATGTGGTGGTAAGAGCAATGTAATGTTGTGATTAAAGCAGGACTCTTTGGTCTTCAGACATTTTGGTCTTAAATTCCCATCATCATGCCTTGCCACTGGTATGATGGCTGGCTGATGGGATTTGCAGGCCAAAATATCTTTCAGGTATCTTTCCTAGCCCTGAGTCTGCATGTTGGTCTGTTGTTATTGTAACCGCCTTCAAGTCAGCTTTGACTTATGGCCACACTATGAATGAAAGACTTCTAACTCATCAACAGCCTTGCTCAGGTCCTGCAGACTCAGGACCTGAACAGACTGCCAGAAATAATC